AGTATATACGGTAGTTATTCTAGTTATTTCTGAAACTAGAAAGTAGTTGCACCATCATAAAAGAAATCAGGTAATTGTATAATAATTGCTGTACTAATAATTCCAAGAAGCATAATAAATAATCTGCATCTGGAAAACTAATAAATTGATGAAGAAACATATACATAATATTCTTTCCTATCCTATACAGAAGGTCTATTTTATATTCATTTAATATATTCAGATATGATTTAGCATTATACAATCTACAGAAAGCTCCAAACACTTCATTCTGTCCTCTTTTAATAAAATTCCAGAGGTGACCAGAAACATTTATTTTCTACTTTAAATTAACTTCAAATTGCTATGCTATTCTATACAAACAGGAATTTTCATTCATTGCAATTAACTATAGTAAGTTGATCAGTGGAAGCCAGGATCAGAAATAGTTTGTTGTTTCGGGATGTAAGAACAAATTACTGAACGTTTTTTTCACCATTGCATTTATCTGTCAGATTTTTAAAAAAGCAGTTGGAAAAGAGGGCATCCCATGGAAAGAGTTCCAAAGCAAGAAACATTCCAAAAGTTTGCCACCAAATATTTTTAATATAATAGAAGGAGAACAATAATTATTTAGGAATAATTACATTGACTAAACTTAACTAATATATTTAATATATCAATAAATTAAACTAATTTCTGGTTTAATTTTTGTCCTTAATTGTATTGCTTGTAACTGAATACATTTAATGATAATGGCTTTTTTTTTCCAGATTGCAGCACATGGTGAATATGTTGTTCTTGAAATGCAGTGCTTTCAGCAAGAACGCAGTTACCCATTTTGTATAAGAGCACATTACAGCATGCTGCAAGGACACCCAGTAAGTTTGGAAGGCTTTTATAAATACGTATTAGCTTTTTTGTTATCTTGAGTACTATTGAATATGTATTGTTTAGATCAAATTTTTACATTGCTCTCTTATGTTCTGGACTTTAAACAACTAATAGTTTTAGTTACTAATATAGTCAAGTTTAAATAAAAAAAAATCTTTACTTGTTATCCTAGTAGAGGAAGCCTTTGACATGGCTTCTTTTCCTGAACATGCCTTCCAATTTTCCTGAAGGTATTTCATAGCTTGACATGGTCAACACAATCAAAAGCCTCTCCATAATCAATGAAGCTTCTCTCTCCTCCCCTCCCCTCCCCTCTAACATGCATCAGCAGTAATGTCTCTGTTCCTCAACCTTTTCTACAGCTAGCCTGGACATCTAACATATCCTTATCCATGTAGGTCTCTAATCTGCACTGAATTAGAATTAGAATTAGAATTAGAAGAGAGGAGCTGGAAGGGACCTTGGAGGTTTTCTAGTCCAACCCCCTGCCTAAGCAGGAAACCCTACAACACTTCAGACAAATGGTTATCCAACATCTTTTAAAAAACTTCCAGTGTTGGAGCATTCACAACTTCTGGAGGCAAGTTGTTCCACTGATTAATTGTTCTAACAATTAATGATCCTAAGCATTATAAGTTTGTGTTGCTGTTTATAATTATGTTTCAACTTTCTTCATCTGCAAAATGTTCAGCAATTCAACTTCCTTTATCTGCAAAATGTTTCTGTTAAAAGTAGGGAATTTGGTTAAAGCAGTAACTGCAGCACTCATTGTTACGGCAAGCCAATACTTACGTATCTATTTATTCCATTTGTGTCCTACCATGATCTAAATGATTCTTGGCAGACTAATTAATTATAGAAACATTAAAACATTCATGATAAATCTTCTGTATCTCCTCAGCTCTCGCCAATTCCTGGTAGTGGGGCAATGAGAGCAATTTATTCTTGGCTTACCTAATAGTTCAAGCTGATACAGGTTGGGGAAGGTGATCATACAGATGCCCACGTGCTAAGAATCTGTTGGTATTAACTACTCCTCACCTCACCACTTCCCAGCTAGTTTCTTGTAGATTATTAGTATGCTGTGTCAATAACTAGATTTGTCAAGAGAATTATTATTCTCAAATGCAGAAGTTTAGAAACAGAGATTTGAAGCAGGCACCATCCTTTAAAAAAAAATGACAACCTTTTAGATAATGCCATAAGATAAATAGTGGGGTTTCTATGAACTTTCCCCTCTTATTTTTAAATTTATAATTTTAATGGCATACTTTTTTCTTAGAAACAAAAACAACTGATGCCAGCTAAGACTTCTGAAGAAGCTAGAAGACTCTATGCCCTTTGTATTCAAGATTTAAAGAAGACGGGTTTTGAATTAAGAAAAGACTTTCCATATCAAGCAGAATATTTAGTATCAGAAAAATTACAAGAGGTTAGTATGTTTTTTTAAACTTCCTTATTTAATGGTTTCATTAAATTATGAAGACTTTAAAGATTTCCAAGGCTTAGATTTCAATGTGCTGGTTTTTTATGTAAAGCAAAATGCAAATACTAGTTTTTCTCCTAGCAATTGTTTCTTTTTAGTTGCCAGAATTAGCTTATGTCATCCTCAGTGTCTTTCTAGTTGCATGCAGAAAGGAAAAGAAACATACCAAGAAGACACTTCTGTTTAGTTATTTGTTTAATTCAGAGGTGAAATTTGACAGGGTTGTTATTTGAAATCAGATCCAGAGCATTTCACATCTTATACGAAGTGGTTTTGTCATACCACAAGCAGCCATAAGCAGTCTATCTCACTGGCACTATTATGCCTGTGGATTGTACCTTACTAATAATGCAAATAAAAATAGATATTTTAAACATTGATAACCTATGTTTAGCTTTGTTTCAGGAATTTTAAACATATTTTAAAAATGCATTTGAAGTTAAAATTAGAAATAAATTGATTTTGTTCATACTTTTTTAATATTTTAAATATATTGTGTAGTTTATCCTGAATGCAACCAATTCGTGCAGTTAATTAGTGAACTGGATTTATTTTCAATCTTTTTTGTTGTTGTCTTTTAGCATCTTAGTTATTCTTTATTTACAGATGCTTATAGCAGATGCAGTCAGTTCCAGTGTCTTGTCTGAAGAAGTTGGTTGGTTTGTGGAACTTATTTGGACTGAAGCAGTTGGACACCTGAATGGCCTGCTAGATAAACCCGTAACCAGAATCAGCCTCAATGATGTATGCAACTTTGCTTGAAAATATTAGTTCTTCTAGAGTCTAGAATCTAGAGCATGTGAACAGTGAAGTGTTAGGCAAACATTTTTTATCTCTAAGTTGTGACAAGGTTCTCCACAGTTGGGATTAGTATGTCATGAATCATGCATATCATGTAGTTGCATAAATTATTATTTGTCTTATTGAAGCACACATACTATTGTATGGAAAATTACTACATTATGTGGCTGTGGAATATGTGCAGATGCTGCACTTAAATGATGTCTCTTTTTTTAGTTTAACCTACTTATTATTTTGTGGCACTTAACAACCACAGTTCATTGGGAACTCAAGGCAAGGTACTTAGGGATTCATTCTCCATTTTTTTTACTCCCACAGTTCAAAGGGAGTGACTGCTTGAAAATTATCCAGTCAGTTTTGTGATCAAATGGGGACTTGGACCCAGGTCTTTCCAGTCCAGTAACCTCTCCAGTCTTCTTGCTGGAGATTGGTCATTATAGATTCTATAAGCTTTTCCCATCCTCTCTGCTCTCAGCTTCTAGAATCCCAAGCAATGTGTCATGGTTCTGAGCAATGAACCAATGAAGTGAAAGTAAATATGACTTCGGCCGAAATAGTTTCAAAGTTGACACAATGATTGTGCTGCTACTGAATTTTAGAGGCTGAAATCCATGGAACTGGCTAGTGCCGCACCACAACTTACGTATCTAATATAGCTACATGGACTTAGTTCACCTACAACATTACACCATTTGAAAAGCATATCCAGTAGTCTGAACTATATTCTATTGGCTAATGATAGAATTATGTTTTAGTATTCTAAAAGATCAAGTTAGGATGTGACTATCCATTACTAGTACGAAAAAATATTTTTCTCTCACAACATATGGTTAGGTACATAGAAGTTCACACATCTGTGAAAGGCTTTGTGAAGGGAAGTTCAGAAGGTGGTGGGAGAGTTCCCCAATTTGTTCTTTGTATATATCATAATGTTTCTTTAAATAAAGCCTTTTAATACAATATTTCCTTAAAAGGTGAGCAGAGCTGAAGGCATTCTTCTTCGGGCAAAGACGACTTGGGAAGAAACAGGATCTCTAACAGAGCTGTCTGCAATCATGTCAGAATTCTATAAAGTCATACCCCACAAAAACGTTTTGGATGATGAAGTTAGCAAAAAGTTGATATACATTAAACGGGATCTCTGTCAGGTAACAGTATCAGACTTTATTCAACTTTTCAATGTCTCATATATGAGAACAGTCATAAATATAATAGATTCCACAACAGTTAAATTGCAAATATGACCTTATGCTTGAAGAATACTCCAAAATTGTTATTAGTCAAAATCACAAAAAGAAATAAAAAAATCACTTGAGATATTGAGATCACGAGTTGAATTACAACTCTCAAAAATATTTAATGGTTGATTTTTATATTGGTCCCTCTGTGAGGAATGGCCAATGGCTAGGAATTGTTCGAGTTGCAGGTACATTTATCTGGAACATATATAAGGTGGGGAAGTTTGGCTTTTAAGTAGACATTCCTTTGTGCCTTATGTTGGTGAGTATCAGCTTTCAACTTCAGATACTTGATTGAACATCAGCCAGTGCCAGTATTTGCTGATCACTTTGTAAAGTTGATTTTAATCTGTAATTGAACAGTTTAGAAATAAACATCCCAAACAAAATGATATTAAAAAATAGCAAACAAAAAACATCTATATTCAGTAGAACAAGTTAAAATTTAACTGCATGGAATCATAATAGTCAGATTTGTCAAGACATTGATTAAAAAAATTAATATGTAACAAATACAAACATGTCTGTAATTCAGGGTTTTCAATCAAGTACCATAGAACTTTTTCAGTTGGAATGAGATAATCAAAGCTGCTGTACACATCAGCAATGTCCTAGGACAGGGCTGTCAAACTTGCTGCCCACAGGCCAGATGAGTCATGAGCTGGCCACGCCCACATTTAGCGAAGGGAAAAAGTCTCGATACGTCACATGATGCCACCCTGACAATCAGTGGTGGGATTCAAATTTTTTACTACCAGTTCTGTGGGCGTGGCTTGGTGGGCATGGCAGGGGAAGGATACTGTAAAATCTCCAGTCAGAGGTGGTATTTTCCAGTTCTCCAAACTTCTCAAAATTTCTGATACCGGTTCTCCAGAACTGGTCAGAACCTGCTGAATACCACCTCTGCTGACAATGTGAGGTTTTTTTTTAAATAAATTTTTTATTAATTTTCAATAAACAAACATACACAAACAAAACACAAAACATGAAAACATAAAACTTATTTTTGGAAAGCGGCAGAAAAGATAATAGATAATTGAAATAGAACAGACAAAAGATACAAGCATAATGATTTAAATTGAGATGAAATAAACAAAATAGAATTAAGAGAGTGCTGACAATGTGTGTTTGACATCCCTGTCCTAAGGAGATTAAAAAAATCTCAGGATGGTGACTTGCAACAATGATTGAAGCCCATTCCTTTATATTTAACACTCAAAAAGAGGTGAGCTTTTATTCCATGGTGGTTCATGTTTATATTACGATAAGTTCCAAATTTTGCAGATGTAATTTAATATTACAGTCACATCACTAACCCTTATTTTTCCAATACCTTAATTTAAAAAAAAAATTATAGAGCTGTACATCTTAAGCAATTCTGGGTGCTTTGCATTCTTTACATTAATCTAAAATGATATCATTGCAGGAATATACCCCAAACATAAGTCATATATTCCCATATATTAGACCAGGGGTGGGATTCAGTTTTTTTAAAAAACGGTTCTGTGGGCGTGGCTTAGTCGGTGGGTGTGGCTTGGTGGTCATGTGACTGAGTGGCCATGGCCAACTCAACATCACTCATGTCAAGGGGCGCTTCTCTTCGCCTGGCCTCTCATGACAGTGGGGATGCTGCAACGGTCATACGTGTGAAAAATGGTCATAAGTCACTTTTTTCAGTGCCACTGTAACTTTGAATTGTCACTAAATGAACTGTTGTAAGTCAAGAATTACCTGTACAAAAATACAAAAAGCTTCTTTGCTTGCAAAAAGCTGCCCTAAATACCAATCATTAGATTAAAAATACCTGCAAGCCAGAGTTACAAATCAGGCAGGGTGCCAGAGCACCTTGAGGAATGAAAATATTTAAAATGCATTGATAACTATCAAGCAGCCATCTCTTGGTCATAAAGTGAAACCTTTTAGCAGAGAGGTCAGTTAAGCTCTCCAGAAAAAGCAGACCCAAGAAAAGCAATCCTTAGATCCATTTGCACCACTTAAAAATACCAGCTGGTCTCACTCACCTCACAAGATATCCCAAGGAAATCACCCAGATTTTAGGAAAGGTCACATGCCTCCCTCAGAAAGGCAGTAAAAAAAATCAGTGCCAAGCCTCCATCCTGCCTCTTGGAAGTGTACCCCAAAAGGACAGTGCCAGATAGTATTAAAGCAGTGAAGGAAGACCCCTCCCCAAATAGAAAAAGAAATCATGAGGCAAGAAATAATTAAAACACAATACAAATAATTAAATCACAACAGTAGCTGTTGCTTGTTGAAGCTGAATAGGGAAAATTGTCCCATCAATAAACACAGGATTAAATTTCACCAAGCACAGAATGAACCTTCACCAAAACCCAGTTTTAGACCAAAACTTAGAAAGGGTATGTAAAGAGTATGTTAAAAAAAAGATGTTGAGACTCTAGAAAAAGTACAGAGAAGAGCAACCAGGATGATTAGGGGACTGGAGACTAAAACATATGAAGAACGGTTACAGGGACTGAGCTTGGCTAGTCTAGTAAAGAGAAGGACCAGGGGAGACATGATAGCAGTCTTCCAATATTTGAGGGGCTGCCTCAGAGAGGAAGGGGTCAAGCTATTTTCTAAAGCGCCTGAAGGCCAGACAAGGAATAATAGATGGAAACTGAACAAGGAGAGATTTAATCTGGCAATAAGGAGAAACTTTCTGACAGTGAGAACAATCATCCAGTGGAACAGCTTGCCCTCAGAAGTTGTGGGAGCGCCATCACTTGAGACTTTCAAGAAAGAAATTGGACTGCCATCTGTCAGAAATGGTGTAGGGTCTCCCGTTTGGGGGGGGGGGGGGGTTGGAGTAGATGACCTACAAGGTCCCTTCCAACTCTGATTATCTGTTATCTGTTAACTCACGTTTGAATGTCAATCCTTCTAGCTAGCCAAGAAGCCTTGCTGAATGTCACTCATCTTGGTTCCCTGTCACTGAAAGCTTTGCTTCATTATTCAACTATTTCTTCAAAGTGCTGATTGTCCAGGGAAGTATTTCCTCCTAACAGCAGTGTAAAATCTTAAAACAACCCTTCCCCTTTAAGAAAGCCAAGCCTCACAAGCTCCGGAGACAGGAAGTCTAGGCTGTCTGCCAAGAATGTAATAAGGGTGGAAAAAAACAAAGGAGATTGCTTCTAACTACCAGTTCTCCCAACTGCTTAGAAAGTTAACAAGGGGTTCTATAGAACCGGATAGAACCAGTAGAATCCCACTCCTGCTTCCAACATACACAAGTTGAAACCCAGCTCTTATTATACATTCCATGGAACATTGGGTAGAGATAAAAATACTTCTTAGGTGAATTATACTTTTAAAAAGTAGGCCTTTTGTTTAGCATTCTTTAAGATTCTGGTCCATTGATTTGTTAAAATGAACCTATTTCATTACTTCTGCCTAGATCACAGACCTATAAAATCATAATTTAAGGGTCCTTTATTGATACTGTTCTGAAGACTCCAAGCAGCTGCACTGCCTTGCTTCATACTTTTTGGTTTTCTACAGGCAAAGGGTGGAATAAATATCTTAATCATTTGATAAGTAGGCTTTTTTGTCAAAGAAATGTAACAACTCTAAATTCCATCTTGCTTTTACAGCTGATTAGAGATATGCTGAATATTAGTGAAATAAACATGTCAGTTCTTAACCTGTCATCCCTTTCTAAATATCGGGCTTTGAGATGCAGGATTGATGCTCTAGATGTGAAAAATGAAGAGTTTAACAGTGTCAAACACTTGCTGGAACAAAACACCAGGTAACTTTTAATTTTGGTATGAGATTTCAGGATTTGTATTGTGCAGGTTCCATTTTTTTCTTTATGATACTCTAATACTATTAAGAAATATCTGAAATATTTTTGAGCATATAGATAAAATGTAAAATCCTCCGAATATATAATAGATATTGTCTTGGTTCAGGTTTCAGTTATATACTTGAACACAGTTGCTTTGGATATTAGCAATTTATTTCAAAGTTAAACAGGTAATAGTGGACAAGGAAAATAATAAATCAACACAAAAGTCTCTGAGGAAGAAAACTTGCCTGAGTGGTTTTTCTTTCAGTGGAAGTAGAGTCCAAAATCTAGCCTGAGTTCAGAAAGCCAGATAATAATAATAATAATAATAATAATAATAATAATAATAATAATAATAATAATAATAATAATAATAATAATAATAATAATAATAATATATTTTATCATCATTGTATGTATATACACAGTGTACACATACAACGAAATTCACGTAAGACCAGACCCAATATGCACATATGACAATCCCCAAACACACCCCCACCCGCCAAAATTCCCCGCCAAAATTACATAAACAGTTTCCACAAGAACAGGGGTGTCAAACTCGATTTCATTGAGGGCCACATCAAGGTTGTGTTTGACCTCAGGGTGGGGGGCATGGTCCAGGGGCATAGCCAGCATGATGTCACTTGTGTTGCGGACGACTGTGGTGGACTGAGTGCTCTGCCAGCAAAAATGGGCTCTGGGCCCCGTTTTCGGCCGTGATGGCCTCCTTTAGCCCCCCGCCAGCAAAAACAGCTTGGGGGGGCCATGAGCCCCCAAGTTCCATTTTTGTTGGCAAAGGCTGCAGGAGGCCATCGTGGCCGAAAATAAAGCCTGGAACGGTTGCATGTGGCCTTCCCCAAGCTCTGTTTTTGCTGGCAGAGGCATCACAGGCCAGTCCTTTGCTGTTTACAAGGCGGCCCTGTAGGCCAGATCCAAGCACCCACAGACCAGATTCTGCCCGCAGGCCTTGAGTTTGACACCCCGTATGAGAATATCATGCAAAAGCCAGAGATCAGACAGTTGTTTCCAACTAAGAATCATGAATCAGGGCTGCCTCTTAAATTAGGCTGCAGCCAGCTACTTTCCATTACAAAGACTTTTCCCTCTGTTTGTCGAGAAACCCCATTGAGCATTGTTGTTCTGCTCTGTGCCTCATGCGCCGGGTGCAAGGGCTTAAGAGTCATACCTCATCATCTGACTCTTCCAGTTGTTCAGATAGCGCCTGCGCCTGTGTTTCTATCAGCCTCAGGTGATTCTTGGCTTGATGTCTCCTGATGCTAATATTCCATAGGTTCAACTGAAGTAGTGTCAGACTGAATCCTCAGCCAAAACAGGTATTGTCAAAACATAGCTGCCATAGGGGGTGTGGTCATTCACAGCAAATAGTTCTTTTGCTAGTGCTGAAGGATGACCTTGCTTTCTCCAGAGGCCACATTTTTAATGTTTTTGATTGGGGTTGAGGCTCGTTATGCCAAGTGATAATGAGAATGTAAATGCCTTTCTAAACTGAAAATAGGTTAAGTCAAAAAGTAAGGTGTTGTGTTTAGCCAGTAATGTATCAATTGTCTAGAAAGTTCTTACTGTAGAGTAACTGTTCCTGTTCTGCAAAGTCCCATATTGAATTATCATGTTCTGTTAGTCCTTATTCAGCCTTTGTTAATAATCCTGTTCCTTTGACTCTTTTAATAACTCTGCCTCAGGTAAATGCACTGTCTTACTTCCTAAATTTTATGATTGAGAAGCCATGAAGCAACTTTCTTTTATTTGGACCGTGCTTCTAGCATAAGCCTAAACCTTGTACAAGAATATGTTATATACATGTTCTTCCTTATGCCGGAATTTGATGATAATCACAGTGACTAAAGCCTGAATCATAAATAAATACAAACTAGCAAAAAAAGCCACATTTGGAGATTGTGAAATGGGAAAAGTAGTTAAGCTAACATATTTTCAGATTAGAAAGGCACTGTAAGGGCTTCTCATAATCACTTGACATAAATGGTGGAATGAAAACAGATTTTCTGCTACCTGGGTCCAAAACTGAATTGTGTCAGTTTTGTGTCACCTGTATGTAACCTAAACCTTTAGGGTTTTGGAAATGCCCCAAAGCTTTTACTAAATAGAAATTGTTATTGGGAGAGAAGAAAGAAAATGACAATCCAATGAAATGAAATTTACTGTTGATCCCAGCCTCAGCACTGTATTTTGGAATGTGGCCCTTAACCAAGGACTCAAAAGCCATGTGTACTCCTTGCTGTTGAAAAGATTGTGCTCCTGTCATGGCTACTTACTTGTGGAAATCTCTCTATCTTTATATTCTACAAGAGATAGATCCTCAATGGCGTTAGGGATTTTGTAATTGAAATTACCGCGGCCTGGCTATACGTTTTTAATATGAAAACTAATGGAATATTTATTTTCATTTTGATTTTTCTTGCAGTGAAAATCTAATACAGGTTTTGAATATATATAAAGTCAGCAGAACAACTGAAAGTATGTTGTTTGAGAGAAATCTTGGCAATGTTCAATCTTTATTCCATGGATCGTCCGTTTGCAACTTTGTGGGAATCCTCTCAAGGTAACAGCTTGAATTATATTCTAGCTCTTCAGACTTTGAAGAGTTTGCTTTATTTTGTTTTTCATTAAATGGGACTTAGCTATAAGGCAACTGGCCAAAATAACAGTCTTATATGTTAGACCAGCTCAGAGATACCTAGTACACATCTTCTGCTAAGCTTGGGCTAAGATGGGAAGGATGAGAACATCACCAACCAGATTCTAAGTTGAATTGTGATTTCCTGAAAAAAAGGAATGTCTATGTAACAATTGAAGCAGAGGGAGCATTTCTTTCCAGGGTTGTCTAGTGTCTATTGGAATAGGAACTGATGCTTTAGCTGAAAATCTCATTTAAATTCCTTTTATTTTGGCGACAGTTATCTCTAATTTCCTTGTATGACTAAAGGAAACATTTTAATTATTGACAATCTTCAGGGATTTATACTAGCCCTTTGTGGTCTTTTTACAGTTTTGTTAAATAATTTGGAATATTTGGAATATGTTTATAAAATTTATTGGATTATTTCCTTGTTTCATTCATTTGCAGTTTATCCCCAAATAAGAAGGACATTGTAATTTATATTTTTCCAATATTGACAATCAAATTCTATATTTAAGGTCAGAAGCAGCTTTAAAATTGTATTCTCTTGTTAATGCAGTTTAACTGTCAATCAGAGTCTCTAGTTTGCTAGATTGGTTTATCTCCCATGGGTGGAATAGTCAATAGCTCCAATCTCATACCTTGACTCCAAACAGCTAAGAGGTAGCTATAGATTTTTTTTCTTTTGACTTTTACCTGATTGCCAGAAAGGTAACAGGATAGCGGAGTCCTATCTCTCTGGAATTAGAAGAGTTGATGCCAGGTGAGGCACTCCCTAGAAGATGACTGATGACAGTGAGAATTTCAAAGCTCTTTTCCCAAGGGTTGGAAATGATTAGAGTGTGTAGACTCAGAGTACTTCTAGGAGAGGAGATTTGAGATTCCATCTTACCACTATTATTTAAAATAATAATAGATTTACTATAACCCTCCCATTCTGAACCAAGCTATATTCCTTTATAAAATTTACTTAAATATGCGATGACTTGATCAATTGAGTCCAATGGATATTTTGGTTTTTTTTAAAAAAAACCTCTCCTAAATATGTTAGGTTTAATGAATATTTTTTCTAAAATAAAAAAATGGAAAGGCAAGTGTATCTTACGTAATTATTTAGCACATGTGGTTTGAGTCTCACAGATGATGATGGTGATTATTATTATTATTATTATGCAAATAAGTGTGAAGGACAAGAATGGGAAAAATGTAGAGTGTGTATGTGCTGTTTGTTCCTTTTTCCTTAGTTACCCAATGCCAAAAGAACATCTGTTCAAAATTAACTTGCTAATAGAGAAACATTTGCTTCTGTATCTTAATATGTTTTACATGCTAATCTTTTTTTTTAGAGGATTACTTTTGCCAAATGTAGCTGAAGACTATGCCTTAGAAAGAACAGATTTTGGGTACTTGGGCAGTGGCATTTATTTCAGCAACTCTGTAAGGTAACATTTGAAGTCTTTTTTTTTTTTTTTCAGAACATCAGTATTGTTTGTTTGTGTGTGTGTCTTTTTAAAAAATATTCTAGATTAAGATGCAATGAATTTGTAGATTTTCCTGCATAAATACTTAGGGGGAACAGGGTGATGTAATGAACAAAGAATTGGCATTGGACTAGAACAGATTTTCCCAATCCGATGCCTTCAAGGTGGATTGGAACTATAGCTCTTTGCATTTCAAAAAAAGGCACCAAACAAGATATATTCTAAGAGTTGTAAACCCCAACGCATTTATAAATACAGAATTGATTCAGATCAATTTAATGAACTTTGACCAATTGCCTATTTTCAAAGCAAGTATGATTCTTGGTATAAGCCCATTTCTCCCAGCGGGCTCACCCTGACTTTGCATTAGCTTCACATTTGAGTTAAGGCCAATGGAGAACAGGTAATCAATGATCTATTGGAGAGAATAATTAATTGTAAAGATTATTTAAGAAATGTGTAAAAAACAGTGGTGTGATACACCTAACAAATATTAACCAGGTAAGCTTTTATCTTTCTACCAGTCCCAACACATTGTCCAAACGACATGTGACTATGGTCATTAAAAAGTTGTATATCCCTGCTTTAGAAACTGTTGTGGAAGACACATCAGTCCAAACAGAACCAGGATCAGACTGATGTGGTTAAGACAGCAAGACCAATTGGCAAGCTAATTGGCCTTTTGCTTTAACTAAAATTTAAATGATGGCTATGAAAAAAAGCATTTGGAATAAGCAGATATTTCTCTCTCTTTAATAGAACAAGCATTAAGTATTCCCAGCCATGTGAAACAGATGGAACTCGACTGTTGGTCATTTGTGACGTAGCACTTGGAAATTGTTGGAAGACTAAGGAATACTGCTATTGTTCAAGTGAAGGACCACCACTGTGTCATGATAGTGTGCATGGAGTCCGTAGTACAGAAAAGGAAAAATCTATTTTTGAGGTATTTGATCTAGCTAGTTGTGAATAATCTATAATAGGGTTCTCCAACCTTGGCAACTTTAAGACTTTTGCTGGCTGAGGAATTCTGGGAGTTGAAGTCCACAGGTCTTAAAGTTGCCAAGGTTGGAGACCCTTGATCTAGAATAGAAGAAGGAAAAAAGACAAACTAATTGTAACTAATAGTAAAAATGTTAAAAATGAATATAGAGCCAGTAGCTAAAAGTAAAAGCTGTTATCTTAGTTTAACCATTATTAATTTTAAAATCTGATAGGCTTCCAGGGAAGGTAGTCTTTTGAGCCATCAACTTTGCCACAAATCCTCATTGAAAGTCTTCAAGTGACTTCTTGTCTAGAAGCAGTTCACTAAAGTTCATAAGGAAAGCAATAGTTTGTTAAATTGGTATAATACTTCAGCATTCTGAACTTTTCTCTAACTAACTTGAGGATCAGCTTATGTATCTATATTTGTGCTCTGGTAAGGTTCCTAAAATACATGTTTTATTTTGTTTTCTTCCAATAAGGATGATGAATTTGCAGTGTACAGAACCAGTCAGGTCAAGATCAAATATGTGGTTCAATATACATGTGTTAATGACATCATTAAAGAATTCCAGCCAATAATTCAGAATGAATTAGAAGACCAGAGATTTTCTTTTGAGGATCATGACCAGCCTAGGGGTAAGAAATCATATTTGAAATTTCCCACAATAACAGTCAAGTCTGTTTTCTTGGCATTTTCTGAAACTTTTTTATTTTTATTTTTGAGTCTCTTGATAAAAACACATCTGCACTAACTTGGCACAAATATGCATAGTATAACAATAACAATGAATGATAAATATCAATTTTTAATTGTTGCCCCCTTCACAAATAAAGTCATAAGTATATTCTCTAAGCCCGTGTCTAAAACCTCTTCTTTTCCTCTACATTTTTAAAATAGGGAAAATAGTTATGTGAAACTAAATGGTATGTAGGTATTCTCTAAACTGCTTTTTGCGGTGGTGCAGTGGTTAGAATGCAGTACTGCAGTCTACTTCTGCTGACTGCCAGCTGCCTGCAATTTGGCAGTTCGAATCTCAGCAAGCTAAAGGTTGATTCAGCCTTCCATCCTTCTGGGGTCAGTAAAATGAGGACCCAGATTGTTGGGGGCAATATGCTGACTCTGTAAACTACTAAGAGAGGGATGTAAAGCACTATGAAGCAGTATAGAAGTCTAAGTGCTATTGCTATTTCTCTGAATATGATTTTTTTTCCTTATACACAGAAGTTTTTTTCACCAGAACAGCAATGAAATGTCTGTAGGCTATTTGTGACTTTCTATTTCTATGTTGCTCCCTTCACATAATACCAGGATTCATAGTGAAGTTTTACCAGCAGGTTGCCAATTCTGAGCAATATGACTTTTGAACTTGCATTTTGTTTTTGTTTTCTACAATCTCAAACTTAAAAGTGTAGGTGTAAGTCTTAGTACATCTATTTTTAATTCCTCTGAAAAAGGCTGAAAGTGAAGTCCCCTATCTAGCCTGTGACCTTGCAGCCACTTGAACAATAAAAAATAGAGAAAAATAGAAAAGAGATTTTAACTGCAAGAAAGGGGGGTTTCCCCTACCAAGAGGATGTCCCCCTACTAGGGGATCAGGGCATTTTCCACTAATTTTGCATCAGTTTCATAGTTCCCAGCACTTACAGTTTGGTGGTTTTTAACTGTCTATTGTCCTTAAACAAATCTTTTGGAAGAACTAGTTAGTTTATTGTTCTTATACATATTTTTATAAACACTCTTCATGCCTCTTGTGATATTGATTATGCTTTTCTTTCTTTTTGGGATTAAAAGTTAAGGTCCAAAGATTTGAGAGTTATATTTATATAAAAGTAATGCTGAGAACCACTTTGAATAATGCTTTCAAAGCTGAGCTATTGAGAATAGGTTCAGGACCCACAATGCAAAAGGCACCCGCATTTCATCACCCACACCCATATTTAAATTGCAAAGTCATTGGGAGAAAGGAAGGCAAGGGGAATTGAGAGGTGAGGAACTAGGGGAGAATGAAGGAGGCAACTTTTCAGGGAAAATAAAATTAAATGCCCAGGAAAAGCAGAGAGAATGTTCTCTAAAGAGACCACTAGAGACTCTGATTACAGTATGTGTGTACCTTTGATTTGTCTTGTTTAGATTATACACTACCGAGTCATGATCTGTTGAATGATATTTCTGCTGGCCTACTGGACAGAGCTGGAAATCCAATTCCTCTTAAAGATATTCAAATCAAAGGAAGAATAATAGACTTTGTAGCAGAGGTAAAATGTTTTTGTTTTTTCCTAGAAATGCTTCAAAATTCTTCAAAATTGTATTTTTAATTCTTCAAAAATTGTAATTTTAATTCTTCAAACATCTTTTACTACCACATTTTTAATTCAGTGTAAAATCAGAAAATGAGAACAGAAATAACATTTTTGAGCCAAGAGCAGAAATGGAAAAAATATTCAGGGAATTAGCCTTCATATAATATCCAGCTGAAGTATACCACAACCTGACAAGTAAGGCAATCTGCCACAACTGGTTGACTTATGGTTTTTCCGAATTCTCTTTCTTTGGGTCTGTATTCAGTTATGTTGAAAGTGTTAATCCTAGTATGGAAGCTACATCTGTAAAAATCTTTTTACTGAAAACCTTTGTGTTGTCCAAATGAATGCATAAAATTTATTGCATTATATTTCAGGTTGTGGTGTTTCAGACCTATGAAAATGAAACAGAGAGTCCCATTGAAGCAAAATATGTCTTCCCTTTGGATGATACAGCTGCTGTATGTGGATTTGAAGCATTCATTAAAGGAAAGCATATAATAGGAGAGGTAAGCTGATGCTGCTGCAGAAAGGCAGATGACTTTAGGTCAACATTTCCCAACTTTGGATTTCTTGGGGACAACCTCCTTTGCTCCTAGGCTTTTGGGAAAGACTTTTCTAGGCTGTCATGAGAACTGTGTTAACATCCTCCAAGCTAGCAATCTATTGTTTTGACAATGAAAACACATAGTTAACTGTTTTGGTTGATGCTTGATTTTTTTATACATATTATCTTGTATTGGTCTTCCTATTGCTATGGATATGGTAGATAAATCACCATATAGAGCAGGGGTGTCCAACCTTGGCAACTTTAAGACTTGTGGACTTCAACTCCCAGAATTCTTTGCTGGCTGAGGAATTCTGGGAGTTGAAGTCCACAAGTCTTAAAGTTGCCAAGGTTGGACACCCCTGATATAGAGTATTGGCTTGGGGGATTCTTTGACCATCCTAGTGATCCAGGTAATGGCCCAACTCTACCAGGCCCTGATATTGCTTGAAAGGGCAATGAAAGGAAAATTTCTCTTTGTATTTTGCTAGCTTGAACTGCATTCGGCAAAGAACAGTCCAGTATTTTAAGAGGAAATATAGCGGTGATAGAGCAAGATAATTTTGGACCCTAGATACAGTAATGGTAAAGCCTCTAACTTTGTAGTAAGCTACATTTTTATATGAGAACAAGTGCTGTTGTGTTCTAGAAAAACTTTTTTTAAAGTAAGAAATAATTAAGTGTGTATCTATAACAAAGTATATGCACAGCTCTTGATTATAAAATGTTTAAAAAAATAAGAAGGAAAGATGCTACATTGAGCATTATCTGAGTTGTGGGGCTCAATTTTATTCTGAGGTTGTCTCCTTCTGCTTAGGAGGACATCATTTCTGACAGGATCATCTAAATTCGATTCAAAAGAGTTTACTATATCTTTGTTCCCAATAGATTAAAATGAAATCATTCTCTAAATAGCAACTTATTTTGAGATGCAAGTAAACAATAGGATAGCCCACCAACTTCTCATATCTTGCTTCCCGAAATTTATTACAGAGTGTGACACGATGATGTTTGTTACTTTATTTTTATTTTCTTTCAAACCAAGATAAGTATTGTATATTATTCAATGTTAATAGGTTAAAGAAAAGGAAAAAGCACACCAGGAATACAGAGAGGCCATCAGTCGAGGTGATGGAGCTTATCTGATGGATCAGGATGCACCGGTAGGTGATATATAGATTTATTGTACAATTTATGACAATACATGTTGGACTCCATTTTTTGAAGTTACATTAGTCTCTAAACTGGAAATATTAATAGGCATACATACATACATTCTCTAGATGTAGAAATCAAATGAGACAGCTATGTAAATTTAGCTCCACTCAATAGACAGTTATTAAGATAGAAGAGCATCCAAGTTGAATAAGATAAACTGTGTTTTGCATATAGCAAAAAATCAGCAGAAAGCTTTTGGAATGGACAGAAATTTTGTTTATTGCCAGCTTAGGGAAATAATATCACGGGAACCTTCTCTACAGTTTCCTGAAATAAGTAACTGTATGCTATGGGGAGTTCTACTTGCTCAACATGTCTTCCTAAAAGAATATGTCTACATGTTCAGAAGACGCTCTGGGATATCCAAATTTATGAAGAAATATTTGGCATTATCACAGGCACTTTATTTTGAAATTACAGTTTTCACAAATCCCACAGAAAAATCTCTTCATAGAAGTCATTCCCTTGTGCTTTGTTCTCTATGGTTCTTAAGTAGCTCACAATGCACTACAATATATTTGGTCACTGCCAGTTACGCAATTAATGTGGCTTTATCATATGCTGATTGTTTGTTTTCTGAGAATGTTCTGATGATGCAAACATTGAGTAAGTGTATTGTTCTCTGTTTTAAGGACATCTGTTCAATGACACTGGATATATTGGAAGCAAATACTATTGCCATCAGATTTATAATATATATGCTCATTTATATGGACATTTTCATACATTTCATGTTTATAGCACTAGATCCAACATTATGGAAATGTGGACTCAATCATCCAGACCAAAAGCATGTAAAAGGTTAAATCATGGCAACTGGACCAAAGATTATTAAACTGAGATGTTTCGTTACTCATCCAAGAGCTTCAGTCAAATTGCAAGTTAGTTCATTGCAACAACTCTCTATGCCTAATGAAAAATTGTCATGCTGCCTGAATAACTTACTTGGATGAGTAATGAAATGTCTCAGTTTAATAAACTTTTCTCTAGCTGCCATTATTTAGCCTTTTACATGCCTAGATCCAACATTCAAATAATAGAGCAGATTCCTCAGAAAGGGCTGGAAGTCACAGCCCTGATTCTCTACATGAGCTTGAACTTCTGCATAGATCTAAAATAAGATACAAGTCATTCCTGGTAATTTTCTTCTTCTCCATTAAATAGATTTCAGGGTTAAAACTAAGTAAGGTGCCTTATATCAAATCAAAAGCATTGTGGCTTGATCCTTTGTGTTTGTAAACAGTAGTTTATGGCCTGTGCAATATGTAAACCATCCAGTAAATGTTTATTGTAAGGCATGATTAAGCAAACTGTGCAACATGGGATTTCTGGTAGAATGTTGTTTGTTCTAGGTCAGGGGTGTCAAACTGGCAGGTCATGGTCCGCATGCGTCACATACAGACCATGCCCGCCCCAGCTCTGCGAATGGGGAAAACATTGTGAAATGTCATGTGATGGCAACGTGATGTGGTGTGTTTGACACCTGTGTTCTAGGTTATCAGCGGCCAGCTAATAGCAACAACTATCCAGATTTTCAGAAAGAGATCTTCCTTTCCCCACATTAAGATGTCAGGGATTAAACCTAAGGCCTTTTGCTTGCAGAATTATGCTTAAACTATGTTTCATTAATAACATTTACTGTCCAGTATTATTCCCTGTGCTATTGTTTGTAAGATCACATTTTTGTAAGCAACTGAAACATCATTTCACAGGACATTTTTACTGTTTCCGTTGGAAACTTGCCGCCTTCAACAAAAGTGCTCATCAAGATCACCTACATCACGGAGCTCAGTTATGAGAATGGGAATCTTTGCTTTCACTTGCCAGCTGCTGTAGCTCCTTGGCAACAAGACAAAGCATTAAATGAAATCACTCAGGTTGGCATGCTTTTACTAATTACTACATTGCTAATTAATGTTGCTAATGACCTTCTGGTTTAATGAAATGCCATGCGAACTCATTTATTCTTCTTTGAAGACAACTGAAGGAGACATGGTTGACTGCTGTAAAGTGTAGAACTCTATGGCCGGAGCCCTAATGTGGTTAATGAAATGGTTTACAGTTATAACCGCAAGCAAATTATCTTTATAATATCATGGTTCACTTTGTTATGGATTTAATATGTTTAACAGGAGGAATGTGACTTTGGGGGAGCCCTACATTAGTGTAATTTATTGATTTATTTAATGTAATCTTTGAGGCTTCAGGGTTGCCACATTTATCAGCTTTTCTGGTAAATCTCTCTTGTATTGGAAAATCCAAAGTAATCAATAAAAGAAGGAATACGTTTTACTAATATACACTTGCCAAGATAAATGTTATTTTCCAGAGCATGATGTTTCATATCTTTATCTTTTGACCAGGACTCAGTAAGGAAAATTTGTGTTAGACAAACAGAAGCAAAAAGGTGAGTTGGTGAACTGCCACAGTTTTGTTATTTGCAGGTTAAAACTTAGATAGAGTTAGTCCTCAAGGTTACTAGGGACCCGGGAAAAATTACTTATGACCCATCCTTAAAGTTATGATTGTTGCACTAGCCCTGTAATCAAAGATCACATTTCAGGTGCTTGACAACCTCTTTACACCTATGACCGGTTGCCAAGCATCCTGCAATCATGTGATTTCCATTTGTAATCTTCTCTGCTGGCTTCTCCAAAAAGTCAGTGGGGAAGCCAGCAGGAAAAGTTGCAAGTTGCTGCTTCCTGCAAAATGATTTCCCATGTCCTCTATGTACTTGGAGGAGAGAGGACTTGTGGGGGCTGCAGAAAGCAATATTCAGGTTGCAAATTTTTCTCCAGCCTAGTTCTGGAGTTCCCCGCCATCCCCTGTTCAGAAAAGAACTCCAGCAGTGAGCCGGAGAAAAGAAGCTTGCATCCCGAAGATTCGATCTTCCTTCCAGCCTTTCTACCATTCAGGAACATTGTGAGAAGTGGCGCTCATCTTACGATTATTCTGAAGCAGGGGTGTCGAACTCAAGGCCTGTGGGCTGGATCTGGCCTGCGGGGTGCTTAGAACTGGCCTGTGGGGCCTCCCTGGAAAGTGAAGGACTGGCCCACAGTGCCTCTGCCAGTGAAAATGGAGCTCGGGAGGGTAGCTGGCAGAGGGTTTCAGGAGGCCGTCACAGCCGAAAATGGAGCTTGGGAGCCTATTTTTGCTGGCAGAGTGCTCAGGCCACCACAGGCGGTCCCGACACGAGTGACGTTGAGCTGGCCACCCCATCCTGTCCACGGCTACCTCAGCTCTCTGAGGTCAAACACAACCCTGATGCGGCCCTCAATGAAATCGAGTTTGACACCTCTGTTCTGAAGGCTAGGTGAATGGTTAACCAGATGGGTAGATAGACTATTTGACTGAATGATTGAATAATGCTATTTTTCCTAAGAGAAAAAAAAATCCAAATGACACCCTGCTATTGAAAATATAATAATAAATATAAAAAACTTGCCTTTCATTGAGACCCAAAATCTGTTTCTCTGAATGGGATATCTGCTTAATTATTTACCTGAGCATCCCAGCTATTTATTAACATTCTGTATCTTCCCTCCTTGGTATATTATAGAAGTGGTTTACCATTGTTAACTTTCATCTTTCTAGTCTAGCTGGCAGCCCACAGTTTCTCTCCAAAACTTAAACAGTTATAAGATGTGGCTGCTCACCTTTCATATCTGGGTCCTTTAATTGATTATTTTTTTAAAAAAAAATCTGCCTACTTATCTTAAGTTTGTGTTATGCCTTAGCTGCATCCTAAACTGTATGTGGATTCTCTTTATCTTATGACAGAGAGTTCAGCTTAGAAATGTCTATTGAAATGCCCTTCAAAATCAATAACATTAGTAGTTGGACACATCAGCTTAAAATAAAGGTAAGTAAATTGCTTAACGCAACATTAACATACAGTATAAATAGCTTGAAAAACCATGAAGGTTTCTAAACCAGGCTCTGCGCAATTTCATCAAAACAAATCCTTGTCTGGCACTACTGCACAGTGTTTTTTATTAGGCAGCCTTGCTAGAATAATTATTTTTTACTTCCAAGGTTAGACTGTGAATGTTGTTGCTGAATTATTATCACCTTTTCACAAGAGAAAGATATCAAGAGGCTTGTGGGGCACTCTAAGGCAGAAGCTCTCAAACTCTCTCAGGCTGCAGAACCTGAGAATTTAAATTTCCTAGAATTAATAATCAAAAGGGTAGTTAGTAATCAGCTGCAATGATAGCAATTTGGCTGTGTTCAAGTGACTATTTTTCTTAGTTGCTCTTATTTTCTCATGGAACCTTATCAAATTAATCAGCTAGACACTGTTCAAAAAATATTGCTCTAGTGTTTGTAGAACTTTAAAAAAATTAAGTGAAAATCTAAAGGGAGATAATCCCTACTTTGTCAAGTGTGTGGGTGGAGGAGTATAAAAAAAAATAGAGGACAAGATTTCAGGATTGTAAAATCCTATTTTGCAAGATTTTGTGCTCACACACTTATCAGTGCCTGTGGCTAGCTAAACAGATATGTCTCAAAAAATCAGGTTGTAATAATTCAGGCTGTCTTACAGCATTTGTTCTTTTTCTTTCTTGCATATTCCCTTAATTTAGAAAACAGATTGCAAAGCAGTGGTTTCCACAACTGAAGGCAGTTTCTTGGACGCTAGTGGCTTTTCAATGGAAATCCTGATTGGTGATGTATATTTGCCGAGAATGTGGGTAGAAAAACATCCAGATGAAAATAGTGAGGTGATTTTTTTAAGTTATTTAAAAATATACTGTGATATATAACTTAGCAACATAAATTCTGGGCTCAATTGCAGTCATAAGTCGAGAACTACCTGTACTGCTTGCTTTTTACTGATTAGAAAAATCTGTAAGTCCAGCTTGGATATAGTGCTATCTGTAAGAAACTCTTAATTATCTCCACAAATTCCGAGGCAACTCGTATACAACAATAAGTGAGACAGCATTAGTTAGTAGCATTAAACCACCAGCCATCCATGTATTACCTATTTCAATTGCATACAAGTAGTCCTTGATTTATGACTGTTCATTAAATGACCATTTGGACTTACAATGGCTTCAGAAAGGATCTTTATGGCTTGCAAAGCATTTCCAGCTATCATAAAATGTGTCAATTTATATGTGTTCGTCTGAATACACTTTAGGCACTTGGCAACTGGCTCACATTTACGACCAGTTGCAGCAGCCGACGGTTAAACGATTGTTATTTGCAATGCTTTTTGCTGTTTTCTTGCAAAAAAAAAAATACTCATTTGGGAGAATGGATTCAGATTTACCACCTCATGAGTCATGGTAATCATGGTAAAAGTGGTCAAAAACTCAAGTCTGGTCATCTGGTGCCTTAATTTGCAACCAAATTACAACTGAAATTCCAGTTCCAATTGTAGTTGTAAGTTGAGCACTTCCTGAATTCAGACTGATTTTCAGGATGCTGAATTCAAATCACTTATCTCTCTCTGAACCACAGCAAATGCCAGTTTATGACCTGTGGTGAGTCTTCTGCCTTGGCTGGCATCTGCCTGTCATTTAAGATGGATGCTTTTGGTTGATATTTTTTCTCCATTTCCTTCCTTTCAGGCCTGTATGCTTGTATTTCAACCAGAGTTTGAAGTTCCGTTCGATCATTTAAGCCTCCATGGTGAAGTTGTCATTTGCCTAGATTGTTCCAATTCCATGGCAGGTTCAGCAATCCAGCAAGCCAAGGAGATTGCATTACATGCTCTGAACTCATGTCATTTGACAAGAAAAATAAGTGTACTCAAATTTGGGACAAGTAAGACTTCTTTATGGAATTATGTCACCTTTTCTTTTTTTTGCTCTAGTACAGGTAGTCTTCCACTTACAAAAAATGGTTGAGTGACTGTTCAAAGTTAGCACAGCCCTGACAAAAGTGAGTTTTTTCATGCTTATGACCATTGCAGTATCCCCATGGTCACATCAGAGATGGTATTCAGCAGCTTCTGACCAGTTCTGGAGAACTCGTAGTGGAAATTTTGAGTAATTCGGAGAACTGGCAAATACCACCTCTGACTGGCTCCGCCCGCATCTATTCTCTGCCTCCAGAGTCCCAGCTGATCGGCTGGGACTTCTTTTGTTGCCCTGCATAGGAGAACGGAGCTGGAAAGCAGGTTAGTGGGGTGGGGAGGGAATGGGGATTTTGCAGTAACCTTCCCCCAGGAGTGGGGAGGGAATGGAGATTTTATAGTATCCCTCCCCTGCCAAGCCCACCAAACTATGCTCGCCAAGCCACGGCCATAGAACCATAGTAAAAAAAATTGAATCCCACCACTGGGTGACATGATCAAAACTCAGGTGCTTGACAACTGGCATGTATTTATAATGATTGCACTGTCCTGGGATCATGTGATCACTGTTTGCAACCTTCTCTCAAGCAAAGTCAATGGGGAAGCTAGATTCACTTAGCAACCATGTTACTAACTTAACAACTGCAATGGTTCACTTAATCACTGGGCTAAGGACGGTCACAAAACTCATTGTATTGCTTAGCAACAGAAATTTTGGGCTCAACTGTGATCGTAAATTGAAGACTACCCATATATTTATTCTTTAGAGCTCTGTCCAGTTTCCATGCAGATTTTTTGAATCCTCATTTGATCATCCTAACAATTACCCAGGACTAAGCTCTGTGTTATCAATGAAACTTATTTCTGAATTGTGGGATTGTGCTCTGAATTTTGCAGCTGTAATTATTATAACATGCCTAATAAAGAGACATTATTTATATATTATCATATGTAACACTTTTTGCCCTTCTATAGATTTTGTAGAAATTTGTTCCAATCTTGATGATTCCCCAATGGATTCCACAGCTTTGAAAGAATTTATCACAGTAAGTGTATTATTAGAGAAGGATGCCTTTGATACCAATTGTCTAGTATCCCAAGGCTGTATATAGTTCCATAAAATTACGATCCTAAAGTTCCAGTTATAGTCAGTTATGGGACTTGAGGCTTGACACATCTGGGAGAGGATGGTGTTAATTTAACTTTTATTTTTAATTTTTAGTCAGCTACAGCTACAATGGGAGATTCAAACTTATGGAAGGTACTGCGTTATCTGAGTTTGCTATACCCTACTAAAAGCAAGCGCAACATTATTCTTATATCTGATGGACATATTCAGAATGAAGGCATGACCCTGCAGGTTGTGAAGAAAAATGCACTGCACACCCGAATATTTACATGTGGAGTGAGGTAAGTGCAAAGTCAGTGAAAACTGACATCCAAACAGAATTACAAAGCATATCTGGCGCAGTGTTTCTCTGTCTCAAAAGTTTTAAGATTTGTAGAATTCAGCTGTCAGAATTCCTCAGACAGCATCCCTAACTATTTTAAGAATTGAGATCTATGCATTTTAAAGTTGCTGGGGTTGAAACACATTGCTCAGGGGTTTCAAGCTCAGTTTCATTGAGGGCCGCATCAAGGTTGTGTTTGACCTTGGGGGGCAGGGTGGGCGTGGCCAGATCGACATCACTCATGTCGGGAACACCTGTGGTGGCCCAAATGCTGTGCCAGCGAAAACAGGCTTCCGAGCTCTGTTTTTGGCTGTAACGGCCTCCTGCAACCCTCCGCCAGCGAAAACAGAGATCAGGAGGGCCACCCGCACTCCTCCTGAGCTCCATTTTTACTGGCAGAGGCAGGCTGGTCCTTTGCTCTTTCCAGGGCAGCCCCATGGGCCAGATCTAAGCACCCCAGCCCCCAGGCCTTGAGTTTAACACACCTGCTATAGGGTAATAATAAAGATAAGCAAAGATAAGCAAAAGCATCCTTTTAACCAGAAGACAAATAGGTGAGGTTATATTAGCCGTGTCAGGTAGTCCAGACAAAAAGCACAACCAGGAATACAATCTTTACTGTAAGGTTACATTAACAGTATCTTGCAGGACTGAAAGTATTTCTCTCCCCACCCACTCTCCTTTTACTCTCCAGGGAACTAGGGAGGGTCCCTTCTGAAATTCTTCCCACATCATCTTTCCTTTTGCAGGCTGAGAACTCTTTTACTTGCCAGTTGTCCAGTCTGTGTCTCTTCCTTCTAGTATCTGCAAGATCAGTCTCACATATCATTAACCCTTGCCATTTTTTTGGACCTTCTCATCCCCACTTTTTGGATGCTCAATCAAAGAGCACTGATACTAGTAAAAATTAGGAGTAAATTTGATGTGTGCACTAATGTAACTATAAAGGAGTCCCTGCGTATTTTACTTCGCTAGTTGTGACCAACCTTAATGGGCAGTGCTCATTTCTGTTTTAAGGCCATTGAGCCAATGCTACCCAAAGACATTTACACAATCATATGGCCAGTGTGACATCATGCTGCAGGGCAGAGTGTGCAGCAATACACAAAGCTGTAACTATGCCGGAGGTGGTATTCAGCCAGTTCTGGAGAAACGGTAGTGGAAATTTTGAATATTTTGGAGAACTGTTAAATAACACCTCTGGTTGGCCCCGCCCCTATCTATTCTCTGCCTCCCGAGTCCCAGCTGATCGGCTGGGTCTTCTTTCGTTGCCCTGCACAGGAGAACAGAGCTGGAAAGCAAGTTAGTGGAGTGGGGAGGGAATGGGGATTTTACAGTATCCTTCCCCTGCCATGCCCACAAAGCCACGCCCACAAAGCCATGCCATCCCATGCCCACCAAGCCACGTCCACAGAACTAGTAGTAAAAAATATACTGAACTATGCCCAGTATATATTGCATATAACAGTCATGTTTTCCTGCTCTGATTGATTCTCTGTTCCAGATTTTTATATATTATAAACCTTTATAAATCATCTTAGTCCTACAGCAAATCGTCACATGCTGAGATCTTTATCACACTATGGAGCTGGAGCTTTTGAATATTTTGATGTGAAATCAAAATATAACTGGGAGAGAAAGGTAAGTATGTTTTAGTATTTTTCATAAGCAGCAATCAGCAAGGGAATGGGTTACATTGCTTAATCTACTTATTAGTTACTTTTCAGGATGCTTCCATAGTACAATGTTCCCTTTCCCCAGACCCTACACAACAATTTGAAAGCAACCTACTATCATTTTGGGGAGGCAACCTGTTATCATTTTAATGTCAGTCCTTCAAAGTCAGAGAACAGGCAGGAACATCATAACCCAAATCTTGCTCTTCTTCCAGCTAATCAGCAGTGTCCCATCTAGAATAGTACAACTCTGGAATACAATAATATATCAACCTTCTTCATGCAAAAAAAGAATGAAATTAATTTGAACCCTAATTTTACATTTCTACATTGTTAAGCATATTTGAAAATAATATTAGCATTTCTTATTTTAAAAAAAACAATTGCAAAGCACCAAGACATTATTACTCTATTGCAGTTCAGCCCAACCTCTTTCACACAGTTGTTGTGGGCATAAGATGACAAGAGAACCCCATAGGTACTACCTAAAGCTACCACAAAAAGGGTACAAATAAATAAACATCTCTTGATAGGCAAAGAAGGGCATTCTGACATTTTTTGTTACCAGGAGTTTTGCCAATATAGGTAGTCCTTAATGATCACAGCATGGACTAGCAAATTGTTCACTAAGCAACAAGATCATTAAGTGAGACATCAGTGACCATGACTTGTGATTTTACTGTTCTTTTTCATTAAATCTGTTTGTCAGAAGCCAATTGTGAAGTGTACAAATGGCATCCCAAAGGTGCTTTTTCAGGAAGCAACTGGACTTGAGTTTGAGATGCAGACAACACAGACTCATCCCCAGCCCGCGCCTGTCTTCAACAGTGAAGGGACACAGGGCAGAAAACATCCTGTAGCAAAGAAGGTTCCATACCCATTTGCGCTACTCAGGTGACCCTGAGGACACAGATGAACCTCCAAGTGGCCTCAACGATTCTCTAAAAAGAATGCAAATGACCAGTGGTCCACAAGCAATATAAATCTTTCCATTCCCCACCATCCAATTAGAGCTGAAGAAGCTTCTTGGATGAGAAGCAAAACGTCTTCAAAAGAAAAAACAAGAAAGTTCAATTGCCTCCTGAAAAAGCAACTTTGGGACAACCATGATCTGGATGACTGAGAATCTCCATAAACTTGTACAAATGACAAACACCAGCTAGCAGTCAGAAGACATGATGAAAACTCCTTAATTTCATAACACATAGACAGACTTAACTGTAGTTTCAGCTGGGAAACTGAGAGACGAAGCTAAATCCAAGAATACTACAGAATTCCTGGCACTCAGATAAATCAACCATCAACAGGAACATAGAGATAAACAAAATTTACATAACATTCAAAAGAGACAATTAAAAAAACCTAAAAAGGGAAATAAATCACAGCTTCTCACCTTCAATCAATTCTCAGATAACTAGATTGCCTTTCACCAGGCAATCAAACAGAAAACAATAATCAAGGAACTACAAAGGAGACAATCAAGCAGACAAATATTACCCCAATTAAGGAACTATCAAGAAGAAAACCACATCCCATCAACATTGAGAGGGCAAGCTATTCTTAACAAGAAGCAATCCCCACTTCCTTCTAGCACTAAAATGTTACACAATCAGGTAACAAAACATCAGCCACCAACCAAACTCAAAATAGCACCAAAGGGCTTTTTGGAAAAAATAATTTTAGCCCTTTGCATCTTTTACAATTCATTTTATCAACTTCAAGACTCTAGACTAATTAATTTTAAAAAATATGGATGTGGTTAAATCACTTGATGAAATTCCCTGTAAGATAGCATTTCTTCATATTTGTTCTATTTTGTTGTGTATTTACTGCTCTATGTAAAATGATTTAACCAATGCAACAAATACTAATTTTCTGTTTCCATCTCTGTGCAGGTGAAAAGCCAGACAACTAGAACGCTTTCTTCACAGTGCAGTTCTATTTCCATTGAATGGCAGACTCATATGACAGAAAATCCTAAACTTAGTTTTACTCCTGCTCAGATAAGTGCTCTATTTAACCACGAGCGTCTTCTAGTCTATGGATTTATCCTCAATTGCACAGAGGTAAAAAGCTGTCCAAAGAAGCTTCTCTCTTCTTCCCAGTTTGAAAATTTATATATTGGCAGTATCTCTTTCAAGTGAATGAATAATGCATTTAATTTAAATAATTTTAATTTAATTAATTTAATTTAAATAATACATATTATTTAAATCATGGATTTTTCAAGAAAAAGAACCAATCAGAAAACCAATAAAGGAATCAACAAATTCTATGGTCAGAAAAGCAATAGAAACAGGGATAGGAAAACAGAAAAATTATAAAGGCTATGCATATATAGCACTTTCCAGACCTCCACTTATTTGGAAAGGACTATAAGGATTATCAGGAAGTTTTACATTATATTTTTAAAAAATCTAGGCATGTAAATTACACACGTTATGATCCTAGTTTCTGTAACAACAGAAAATTGTTTCTGATCAACTCCTGTATGGTACCCTTTTGTACAGTATGTCTGAATACTGATATTATGACTCCCCTCAGTCTTCTTTTCTGTAAACTAAAGATCCTAACTTCCTTCAGCTTATCCTCATAGAACATAGCCTCAAATTTGTGTATTGTATTTATAGCCTTCCTCTGAAACTATTCTAACCCATCAATACCTTTTTCAAAATATGCCTGGAAATGTACACCAAATACCACAGTTGTCATCTCAACCACGTAGAGCAAAGGAAAATAAAAGAATACACACATCTTAAAATGTTGTGAACAAATTAGATTGCTTGTATAGTAAGCCTTTTTAATATTTTAAGCCACCCAGAGTTACCTTGTAGTAAGATGGGCGGCTAATATGTTGTACAAATAATAAATAAATAAAACCATACCAATGCAAATAACAGCAGTTATAACATGGCTTAGCATTATCACATGCTGATTATGTCCATGAGCTATATTAAGCAAAACAGTAGATTGAGCATAGAACAAAATTTGGAATTTCTGAAGCAATGGAAAATTATGGAAAATGTTGTACTTTCTGCATGGGTGTCAAACTCGCTGCGTCACGTTGCCATCACGTGATGATTCATGACGTTTTCCCCATTCGTGGAACTGGGGTGGATGTGGCTTGCATGTGACATATCCAGCCCGCAGGCCACCAGTTTGACACCTTTGTGAATGCTCAACCTGAAAAGATTCTTCCACCTGCTGCCATAACAATTTAATGATGTCAGCCACTGATCTGAGCTTCAGAATGTTTCAGGTTTAAGCTAGCTTTGAATTTACACATTTCAGCTGCTTTCATTCTTTGTGCATATATGTTAGAGCTGGGGTGTCAAACTTGCGGTGATGTATCAGGACTTTTCCCTCCTTTGCCAAACCGGGCATGGATGTGGCCAGTGCATGATGCATCCAGCCCATGGGCCACAAATTTAGAGTGGTTTTTTTAATGTTTGATTAAGCTATAGTTAATGCAAAGCCTGCTTTGAAATTCCATACTAACCTTAATTTTATATTTTAGATACCCAAGAATCTCAAATCTTGATAAATTAAACAGCCATTATATTGCACTAGAGTTAAATCTTTTTTTAAATTGTTTGGTGTATTCTCATAATTAAGTCACAACAAATGTTCCATTCCACCAGCAGATATGTCTGTATTAGCATCACCCTCTCTGTAAACAGGAAGAGATATCTAAAAATAATTATAATAAATGTTGCATGCAGCTTATATTGTAAATAGAAGCACTTGCTTTTCCATAAAGTAATAGATAAACATGCTATTACATGATGTGTATGCCACCATTCTTAATTTAAAAAACAATAAATTAAGACGAATATTCTGGGTTTTTTCTATTTCAGGCCATTTTAAAGGCACAAGTAGACAATCAGGAATTGTATACACTGGTGTCTACATCTGAACTGCAGAAGACCACAGGAACTGTGAGTTAGGCATTGATTGCTCAAACCATAAACTTGTCTTGAGCTCTTGATTTAATATTTTAAAATGGAGCACTTGGGTCCCTTCTGTTGATGAATCTTTATTAGTTACAATGCAGCTGTAAAAGACATTCCAAAGGGCAAGCCCTACTGGACATAGGTAGCACACATGAGAATAACAGAATTGGAAGGGACCTTGGAGGTCTTCTAATCTCTTCTTAAAAACTTCCAGTGTTGGAGCATTTACAACTTCTGGAGGCAAGTTGTTCCACTGATTAATTGTTCTAACTGTCAGGAAATTCCCTCTTAGTTCTAGGTTGCTTCTCTCCTTGATTAGTTTCCACCCCTTGCTTCTTTTCCTGTCCTTACTCTCTACAGGAAGGAAGGTACACCAAATGTGAGAATGCATGGGTCTTTTAGCCAAGGACAATTTAGCACATGGATTGAGGATGAAATGAAGGCCATGCCATTGAGACATGGCATTTACCATGGTTAGATGCAATTGGACAGTTACATGGGATCTATGAAGATGTCTATTTTTTTCCTGCTGCAGTCTTTGACTCTGAACTGGGGCTAGGCACTTTGGAATCTTTATATGGCCAAGAAATGAGAAAAGCAGTGACAGAATCAATTGTGTCAGAGGGGGTATTCAGCAGATTCTGACCTGTTCTGGAGAACCGATAGTGGGAATTTTGAGTAGTTTGGAATACCACCTCTGACTGGCCATGCCCCCATCTATTCTCTGCCTCCTGAGTCTCAGCTGATTGGCTGGGTCTTCTTTTGTTGCCCTGCACAAGAGAACAGAGCTGGAAAGCAAGTTAGTGGGATGGGGAGGGAGTGGGGATTTTACAGTATCCTTCCCCTGCCACGCCCACCAAGCCATGCCCACAGAACCACTACTAAAAAAAATTGAATCTCACCACTGAATTGCATCTCTGAGGTTGCCAATCCAGAGGTCCAGACAATGGTACAGAGGCAAAAAGATGGTTTAAAACATTTGTCAGCACAAGTGCAGCCTCATCTCTTATGATATAGGGAGAATAATTCTTTTCCAATACACTATTTACATTCGGAGGCAAACTGCTCAATATACATTTGACAAGACCAAACTATTTAATAATTGCTTTAATATTACTGATTGCAATGTCGTCTTTTATATCTGGTACAGATACTCCACAAACTTGCAGCAAGAGCCTTTATTAGAGAGTATGAACAAGGGATGCTCGATGAGAGTGAAACACAACATGAGGTGCGCTCCCCCGCAAAAATAAAAACTGTGTAACACTGTATTTATTATCCATTTTAATTATGACCGGCACCTATAAAATTGCTATGATTCTCTTATGGGATTAAATTAAGTGTTCTCCTATAAGCCTGGGGTTTTACATGTTTTTGTTTTTATTTATGTTGAGTATTTTTTGCATTGCCACATACTTTTAATTCTCATTTTGTTTGTGAGCCGTCCAGAGATGGTTGTTTTTTGTTTGTTTTTTTGGATGGGTGACTGTCTAAATTTGCTAAATAAATAAATAGAATAAGTTTGGAACAAGATACATAGTTCTGAGGCTTCTAGCCCAAACAATGGCTGTGATGATCTGACAGTGGCTCTGTATTGCTTTGTCCTAACATATGATGAGATAGATTTATGGATGTATTTGCTAGTTAAACTGATAAAAGTCTGCTTGAGAAAATACAGGGAAGACATTTACAGTTTTTTCTAGGATCATACAGTAGAATAATTAGCAGAAATTCCTACCTCATTCCATTTTCTGGCACTTCAGAGTACCTCCTTTTCCTGTCTGCAGAGGGGTGTTGTTGTGCCTTGCCAATCTCTCTTGTCATTCCTAGACAGTCTGAGGGGCAGATCTTCTCTATAGTGGCCAATTTCTTTACTTTGGAAACATGTATGCTAAGAGGAAACGAATGAAGCAGTTTGCTGACTGCATCTCAACTTTTCTACTCAATGAGTTTATTCAACAGCAAGTTAAGGACATTCATAAGATAGCAGAAGGGTGATTGTATGGTTTGGGGGGAAAGTGCACTTGATATTCCCTTTCTGTCACCATAAAACATTGCTGATAGGATGGCTAACTGCTCCAAGATACAATATATTATTAGATACAATAAAATGAATGCTCCATATGACCAATGAGGTCTACATTTATTTATTTGATTTATATCCTACCCTTTGTAGTGGAACTCAAGGCAGCGTACATAGTTCTTCCTTCTCGTATTTTTATCTATAGCAACTTGTGAGATAGATAGAGCTGACAGAAATTGATAGTCCAAGGCCACCCAAGAGTTTCCATACCTGAGAATGGATTAGGACCTGTATCTCGCCACTCCTATGCCACAATTTAACCACTGAACCAGCATGGTGTAGTGGTTTAAATGTGGCATAGGAGTGGTGTGATACAGGTCTTAGTTTACTCTCTAATCTGAATGAATGCATGAACTAACAGCTTCATGCATTTAACAGTAGCTTTTAATTGTAGAAGGATTTTTCTGTTTAGCTATGCTAAACCAAAATCTTATCAAAGACTTGGCTAGCATGGATGTAGTCATCCAGTCATAATTTATATTTCCACTTCCTTTCAAACATTATAACTGATAATGATAGTTTCCTTTTTGTGGATCCTCACAGTTTATAATATCTTAATAGCACACAATAGGGTAGGGTAGGATAGGGTAGGGTAGAGTAGAGTAGAGTAGAGTAGAGTAGAGTAGAATAGGAATAGAATAGAATAGAATAGAATTGAATTGAATTGAATTGAATTGAATTGAATTGAATTCTTTATTGGCCAAGTGTGATTGGACACATAAGGAATTTGTCTTTGGTGCATATGCTCTCAGTGTACATAAAAGAAAAGATACATTCATCAAGAGTCAAGAATCATAAGATACAATGCTTAATAATAGTCATAGGGTACAACAAGCAATCAATGTGATCCTGATTTGTTTTGTTTTATGATATTGTGCTTTAATGAACAAAATACATTTGACTATAAAATATAATGACAATATGATTTAAAACATGCTTGAAAATATATATTAAAAACTATAAATGAAATGTTGAAGATCTGCCACTTCAGGAACTAAACCAACTTGTATAGAAGTTACTGCTATGGCAGAAATCTGGATAAAATACTCCACTAGCCTGGCTCTCTGTTCCGTTCATGTCAGAGGCACTGCTTAAGGCACTTCTGGGTTGAAGGGATTAACTAGTGACATCACTGTTGCCCAGGCATTGCCCCTGAAGGCTCCTTTCATGTCCTTGTTAAGGAGCTGGAGAGATTGACAGGAGCTCACCCTGCCTTGGAGCAGCACTTGGGTCTTGAACATGGCTTGCTAACTTCCAACTCAGCATCCTCACGATGTGAGCCACCTCACTCCTCCTAGCCCAGCTGTATATCACTGACAAAGATTATAGATAAAGCAGGAAGTAACCAGATGCCCTTTAGATATTTTGGAGAATAATTCCTAAACTTCTATAAATGTGTCCCACTGGCTATAGTGGCTTGAGCTTATAAGATTTGTAGACCAAAACATCTGGCAGATATCAGGTTGCTTGTCCCTGCAGACTCTTTTTAACATTTGCCTGGACCTTACTATTTAGATGAAAAGAGAACAGCTGAAGTCCAACATCATTGAGCTCAGCCTGAAGCACTCCATTGTTACCCAGTTTACAAGCTTTGTGGCAATTGAAAAAAGGGTATGTATGTTCATCTTCAAACCATCCTTTCCCCCATTTTTTTCCTAAGATAGGGCTGAATTATGAAATCTGGAAGGCATCAGAACATATAGTCGAAATTGTCTTAATTTCAATGAAAATTAGAGCTTAGGTGAAGATTGACTGTGCACTAGAATATTAATGGGTAGATGTATTGATAGTCCAAGGCCACCCAAGAGTGATGAATGCACTTTATGCTTCACCAAGAACCAATAAAACTCCAGTCTAGTGGTGCATGGATGGCAGCCTTATTAACCAGTACTGCCGGAAGACAAAGTTTGAGGAAGTGGCAAGATCCCAGCCATCACAAACACATACTGAAGAAAATGGTACCTCAGATTATGAGCGGGGGAGTGAAGCAAATTAGAAAGAGTAAAGGGTGAGAGAGAATAGTATGTATCCATGACGAATGCTAAGAGGAAAAGTCAGTGTTCTTTTGCGGGCTTGAAAATAAACGACCCAGAGAAAAATGTAATGGAATATAATAAGAGAATATAGAATATAATACAGTAATAACAATAAATTATAAACCCTGAATTTAGTGGTGATGAGTAAA